ATATTTGCAAATGACACATTTGATAAAGGGTTAGTATCCAAAATCTAAAAAGAACTTATCAAACTCAAAACCCCCAAAACAAATAAACCAGTTAGTAAATGGACGGAAGACATGAATAGACATTGGAGAAGACATCCAGGTGGCCAACAGACACAAGAAAAGAGGCTCATCATCACTCATCATCAGGGAAATACAAATCAAAATCATAATGAGGTATCACCTTCCACATGTCAGAACGTCTCAAATTAACAACACAGGAAACGACAGGTATTGGCAAGGATGTGGAGAAAGGGGAATCCTCTTACACTGTTGGTGAGAATGCAAACTGCTACAGCCACTCTGGAGAACAGTATGGAGATTCCTCAAAAAGTTAAAAATGGAGCTACCCTACAATCCAGCAATTGCACTAGGTATTTACCAAAGGATATAAAAATACAGATTCAAAGGGAGACATGCACCCCAATGTTTATACCACCATCACCAACAATAGCCAAATTATGGAAAGAACCCACATGTCCATCAACTGATGAATGGGTAAAGAAGATGTGAGATACACACACACACACACACACACACACACACACACACACACACACTGGAATATTACTCAACCATAAACAAGAATGAAATCTTGCCATTTGCAACAACGTGGATGGAGCTAGAGTGTATTATGCTAAGCAAAGTAAGTCAGTCAGAGAAAGACAAATACCATATGATTTCACTTATATGTGGAATTTAAGAAACAAAAGAGATGAACATGGGTGGAGGGAAGGAGTGAGGGAAACCATAAAATAGACTCCTAACTATAGACAACAAACATGTTTGATGGAAGGAAGTGAGTGGGGGTCAGGTTAAATGGGTTATGGATATTAAGGAGGGCACTTGTGATGAGCCCTGGGTGTTGTACGTAAGTGATAAATCACTAAATTGTACTCCTGAAACTAATATTACATTATATGTTAACTAACTGGAATTTAAATAAAAACTTGAAATTAAAAAAAACACAATGAGGTATCACTTTACACCTGTCAGAATGGCTAAAATCAAACACAAGAAACAACTGTTAGTAAGGATGTGGAAAAAAAGGAACCCTCATGCCTTGTTGGTGAGAATACAAACTGGTGCAGCCATGTAGAAAAATGGATGTTCCTCAAAAAATTAGAAAAAGAACTATCATATGATCCAGTAATCTCACTACTGGGTATTTACCAAAGAATATGAAAACACTAATTTGAAAGGATATATGTACCCCATGTTCATTTCAGCATTACTTACAATAGCCAAAGTATGGAAGCAGCCCAAATGTCCATCGATAATGAATGGATGAAGAAGATGTAGTATATATATATCCAATGGAATATTATTCAGCCATAAACAAAAAAATAAACAAACAAACAAACAGAATCTTGCCATTTGCAATAACATGGATGGAGCTAGAGAGTATAATGCTAAGCAAAATAGGCCAGTCAGAGAACGTCAAATACCATATGATTTCACTTATATGCAGAATTTTTTAAATTTATTTTAAGAGAGAGAGAGAGCACAAGCACAGGTGAGGAAGTGGCAGAGAGAGAGGGAGAGAATCTCAAGCAGGTTCCGCACTGCCAGCACAGAGCCTGACCCAGGACTAGATCTCATGAACCTTGAGATCGTGACCTGAGCTAGAATCAAGAGTGAGATTCTTAACTGACTGAGCCACCCAGGCACTCTCATAGGTGGAATTTAAGAAACAAAACAAACAAACAAAGGAAAAAAAGAAACAAACCAAAAAACATACTCTTAACTAAAGAGAACAAACTAACGGTTACCAGAGGGAAGGTGGGGGGGGGGGATGGGTAACATACTAGAGAGAAGATTAAGAGTACATTTATCATGATGAGCACTGAGTAATGTACAGAATTATTGAATCACTATATTGTATACCTGAAAGTAATTTAACACTGAATATTAATGATACTGGAATTAAGATAAAATTTTTTAAAAGAAAACTAAAAAAAATACAAACCATAGATTGCTATTTTACTTTTCTCTCAGTTTTCCTCCCCTTTTTTTTCTTTTTCTTTTTCCTTCTTTTTACTATCCATGACAAAGTTAGTGTGTATCTTACATAAGGAACCAACTATAGTATTGATTACAACTAGTAGTTTTGGAGATATTCTTTACAGAATGGAGACTCTGGCTGCCCTTGGGCATTTGAAGAGCCAAGACAGAAACAAAGAACCAATAGGGGAAATGGGCACAGGACCTGAAGAGACATTTTCCAAAGAAGACATACAGACATACAGACAGACAGACAGACAACAGACATATGAAAATATATTTAACATCACAAATCATCAGGGAAATAGAAATCAAAATCACAATCAGATATCACCTCATACCTGTCAAAATAGCCATGATCAAAAGGACAAGAAATAACAACTACTGGTGAGGATGTGGAAAAAAGAGAACCATTGTGCACTGTTGGTGGGAATGTAAAATATACAGCCACTACAGAAAATCATATACAGTTACCTCAAAAAATTAAAAATAGAACTACCACATGATCCAGAAATGCTGGCATTTATCTGAAGAAAAGAAAAACACAAATCCCAAAAGAAATACACTCCTGTGTTCACTGAAGCATTATTTACAATAGCCAAGATATAGAACAAACTAAGTGTTCATCAGTGGCTAAATGGATACAGAAGATGTGGTATATATATATATATATATATATATATATATATATATACACAATGGAATGTTATTTAGCCATTAAAAGAAAAAATGAAATCTTTCCATTTCCAACAATATGAACAGACCCTGAGGACATTATGCTAAGTGAATAATAAGTGACACAGAGAAAGACACTGTATGATTTCACTTATATGTGAAATCTAAAAAACAAAACAAAGGAACAAGTAAAACAAAACTCATAGATACAGGGAACAGACTGGTCGTTGCCTGAGAGGAGAGGGATAAGGAAGTGGGATCAAGAGGTACAAACTCCTTGGGGCGTCTGGGTGGCCCAGTCAGCTAAGCATCTGACTTCAGCTCAGGTCATGATCTCGAGGTTCGTGAGATCGAGCCCCATGTCGGGCTCTGTGCTGACAGCTCAGAGCCTGGAGCCCATTTCGGATTCTGTCTCCCTCTCTCTCTGCCCCTCCCCCATTCATGCTCTGTCTCTCTCTCTCTGTCCAAAATAAATAAACATTAAAAAAAAAAAAAAGGTACAAACTCCCAATAATAAAATAGTCATAGGGATGTAAGTGAAGAATGGTGACTATAGTCAATAATATTGTGTTTCATATTTGAAAGTTGCTAAAGGAGTAGATATTAAAAAGTTCTTGTAGGAAAAAAAAGATTTTGTAACATGTGTGGTAATGGATGTTAATGAGCATTATTGTGGTGATCATCTCACAATGTATACAAAAATAAAATCATTATGTCATTCACCTACAACTAATATAATATTAAATGTCAATTATACTTCAATATAAAAAAAAACTAAATAGAGAGAATTCTGATGTCTTCTCCTAAAGAAGAAAAATTGTGATAACCATATGGCCTCAATGTGTTAATTAACCCAATTGTTGTAATCACTTCACAAAGCATACACATGTCAAATCATCATGTTGTACTATTTAAAATACACAATTTTAGGGGCACCTGGGTGGCTCAGTCGGTTGAGTGTCTGACTCTTGGGTTTGGTTCAGGTCATGATCTCAGGGTTCGTGAGTTCAAGCCCCACGTCGGCTTGGGATTCTCTCTCTCTCTCTCTCTCTCTCTCTCTCTCTGTCTCTCTCTGCCCCTCTCCTGATCATGCTCTCTCTTTCTGAAAATAAATAAACTTTAAAAAATTATAAATAAATAAAATATACAATTTTATTTGTCAATCATATGTCAATAAACCTGAAAATTAAGAAAAAAAAACTTCTCACTCCAGCAACACATATACTAAAATTGGAATGGCATGGCCCCTGAACAAGGCTGACATGTAAATTAATGGAGTGTTCAATATCTTTTCAATAAGTCATGGGATATAATGTAAGTATGGTGACTACAGTTAATAATAATGTATTGTATGTTTGCAGGTTGCTAAGAAAGGAGATCTTAAAAGTTCTTATCACAAGAAAAAATATTTTGTAACTTTGTGTGATAATGGATGTTAATTAGACTTATTGTGGTGATAATTTCACAAAAGGTTAAAAATATCAAATCATATTGTAGACTTGAAACTAATGTTATATGTCAGTTATGTCTCAATATAAAATTAAAAAAATAAATAAGAATATGGTCTCATAAAGTTAAAACCCAGAGCATAAAGCTGACCTCAGTAAATCAATCTCCACCCATGTGATCAAAATCATAAGCTATTGCCAGGTCCTGCTTTTCTCACATCCACTCATTTCCATGCACATCACACACACACACACACACACACACACACACACACACCAAGTCAGGAGCCAGCACTAAAAGGAAATTAAGGTGCAAGGGGCATCTGGGTGGCTCAGTTGGTTAAGCGTCTAACTTCGGCTCAGGTTATGATTTTGCGGTCTGGGAGTTCAAGTCCCACGTCAGGCTCTGTGCTGACAGCTCGGAACCTGGAGCCTGCTTTGGATTCTGTGTCTCCCTCTCTCTCTCTGCTCCTCCCTTGCTTTCTCTCTCTCTCTCTCTCTCTCTCTCTCTCTCTCTCTCTCTCTCAAAAATAAACATTAAAAAAATTTAAATAAAAAGGAAATTAAGGTCCTGCCTCAGGTTAGGAGCATGAGTCAGAATGAACTGGGCTCTGGCCCTAACCCTGCCACCTCATCAGTGAGTTCCTGAACTTGTCTAAACTTCAGTTTCCTCAGCCAGCAAGTGAAAAGATTAGTTCCATTCCCAGTGTAGTGAGGATCATTTTAGGTGAGCCATTGAAGAACCTGGCACAGTACTTGGCATGTTAATTACCAGTTCTCATTAAATGGTAGCCATTAGACGTACTTACATAATTACTTCTAATAAAGAAGTAAACCTAGAGTCACACCAATGTCTTTTATTTGAAATTATTTGCAAGGTTGATGTGGAAGAAGAAGAGTTTGTGAAGATGGGTGGGTGGTTCTTTAAATATCTCTCTTTACATTTTTAAGAATTACTTATTCTATCAAGATACCTTTGATTCTCCTTGTGCCCATAAAAGGACAACAACTCTCAACTAAGAGGCCAGAAGCAGCTGGAGCAGGTGCCCAGTCACCTTGGGGGACTGCCACACCCACTGCGGGCTGCAGTCACTCAGCAACCGCAGACACTCTCTTACAGCTACCTCCACCTGGCCTGGCATTCGGGGACCCGAAAAACACAGTGGCATCTGTAGTCATGATGTGGAGACAAAATACTATTTGGGCTCTTTTTCAAACAAGGAGGGCGTGGATTCTTCTCTGTGTTCTTCCTTCCTAGATTTCCTTCTTTCCTCCATTTTCTTTCGAGATTTTATCTCCATCCTCAGACATTCTCTTTCATTTCTCTCCTTTCTGCTCTCAGGTCCCTGAAAGAGAAAGGTCAGAAAAGGGTAGGAATGTACTAACAGCTAACAACATGCAACATTTCTCCTATCAGAGATGAAGAAAGCCCTGCTCATGTAGTAGACTTGTGCATCTTAGTTTCTCACAATAAGTTAGCATAAGCCTAAGTGTGTTGCTAAAGGTTTTAGTCATAAATAAAGGGAATGAGCCTTGGGTGTCAGCAGAGAGACTGTGGAGGAAACTCAGCCTGTACACAACCCTGCGTCTGCCTCTGACATGTAGAAAAATGCTTTTCTGGTGCTTTTCTGAAGAGGAATATGGCAAGTGAATCATACATGGACTGATTCTAACTTCCCAGGGTCCACTTCTTTTAAATTACATTAATAGTAGGGTTTGCATTAGTTTTAATGTGTGAAGAATGGAGTGTTGAGGAATGACATCCAACCACACTGTCATTCCCCAACAGGTTGCCCAGGGGTCCACATTCACTGATTCATTGAACACACACTACTGCTCTAAGATCAGGAGATACAGCACTAACTAAAGAAAGCCTACTTCTTCAATATTACACCTAGGTGGACAGTGACAGGCAATCAATAAGCCTAAAAGGCAACAAACGATATAACAGATAGTGATAAGTACAACGATGATGAGCAAACAGGGTGATATGATAGGGAAGTGTGGAGGGGGGAGGGGAATGTTTCTTCAGTTTCCATGGTCAAGGAGCATCTTTCAAAGGAATTACTGACTAAAGAATGGCACTGATAAATGTGCTGATGGTGTCTACTTACACTTCTATTTTTAAGAAAAAAACCAAATAACATCATTACTGTCCCCCCGCCTCCCTATGAACTGGAAACGCGGGGGAACGCCTGAGTGTCTGTCAGTGTGATGAGAGGCAGTCAGATGAGCAAGATCGTGACTCAGTCCTGCAGGCTGAGTTATGAGGGTGTCCGGTTCCTGCAGTGGTGTCAGCTACTCTTCAGTGCTGAGTTGTTTTCACATCTACATTGCTTCACTTCTAACTACAGTGGTCCAAGGGTCAAAGTCACAAAGCCAAACAAACGGTGAAGCTGAGATGCAGCTTAAGAGAAACCTAAAAATTGTACCAGGTCTGTAAATGTGCCTCCAGATTGTGTTCATCAGACCCAGTAGCTGTATTAGATCCATCAGGCTGATCAAAGTTCATACTAAGCAGTCATGAATGTCTCTAATACTTATAAGAGCAGTACAAAAAAGGAGGAAATACAGTGATGATTACTTTCAGTCTGGCTTTTCCCTTATTGAGAATAAAGATTATCTGAGCAACACTCATTAATAATGAACTGAAATCAGGGTGCCTGGGTGGCTCAGTCGGTTGAGCGTCCTAATTCGGCTCAGGTCATGATCTCACAGATCGTGGGTTCAAGCCCTGCATCAGGCTCTGTGCTGACCGCTTGCTCAGAGCCTGGAGCCTGCTTCAGATTCTGTGTCTCCTTCTCTCCCTGCCCCTCCTCCACTCACGCTTTGTCTCACTCTGTTTCTCAAAAATAAATAAATGTAAAAAAAAAATGAACTGAAATCTGTTTTCTTATTTCATTTAAAAACAAAATGTAAAAATTTTCGAAATAAGCCAGTTGAGTTTTTCAATATCAAAATGAAAGAATTTAATTTTGTTGGTCATGATCAGGTTACAAAATTAGCTTGTGGCTCTTTTTGATGCCGAAGGATAAAAAATTTTAATTTACATGTTACTATACATTTGGCTCCCAACCAAAATACATATCATTTTTAGATTTGCTAAGAAACCACACTTTTTAGTGTAGTTAGCTTTAGAAAAGTATGTCAATTGTTAAGTAGGAACAATTTTTAAAGTAAACGTATGTTCTAAATTTTTAATTTTACATTAGGATAAACTTTAAAGTATATACTCTTTAAAAACTGATATAAAAGAGGGGCATCTGGGTGGCTTAGTTGGTTAAGCGTCTGACACTTGGTTTCGGCTCAGGTCATGATTCCACAGTTCATGAGTCCAAGCCCTGCATCAGACTCTGCACTGAAAGTGTACAGCCTGCTTGGGATTCTCTCTCTCTCTCTCTCTCTCTCTCTGTCCCTCCCCTGCTCACACACTCTCTCTCTCTCTTAAAATAAAGAAACTTTTAAAAATTTATGTAAAATAAAATATTCAATAAAATTATTTATCCTATATACATTTATGTATATAAAATGAAAAAATAACTGATTTTGTGAATCCCTAGGAGGTTTCTAGCTATTATACATAGCCGTGAAAAGAGTTCTTGAGTCAAAAAATTGAAAATGCTCTCTTGATTGCCTCAACACTCAAAAGGAAGAGCTTGGGAAATGAAATATTAGCAAATATTTTAGGGATAATATGATGAGTATCTTTTTAAATAGGAGAACTGATTTCATGCTTGCACACTGTTAGGACTTATAATATTAGCAAATAATATCATATAAGCAGTTATATAAGATGTGGATCATGAGGACATCAGATCAACAAAGAACTGTTAAGATTAAGGTTTTTTTTTTTTTTTTTTTTTTTTTCAAAATATACCGTGACTTGCTCTGGAAAAAAAAAATGAAGGCTGATATGTCTCCTGAATTAATATAATGAATTACTTTAACATGTAATTTTAAAACAAGAATTCTTTCATTTCTGTTTTATTCCTGCCGAAAGCTCATAATCTAAATCTAACCATGAGGAAATATCAGATAAACCGAAATTAAGCATCATTCTAAAAAGGTGTCTAAAAAAGAAGCCTGTATTCTTCACATGTCAGGGTCATGAAAGACAAGGAAAGACTGAGGAACTGTTCCAGAATAAAATCAATTGGGAGGATGTGAAAATTGGTTGCAATACATGATCTGGAATTTCACTATAGAGAATATTAATGGGGCAACTGACGAAATATGAACAAGGTCAATAAATTAGATATAAAAGTATTGTGTTGGTGTTAATTTCCTGAGTTTAACTATTATACTGTGTCTTTCTAAGAGAATGTTCTGCCCTTGTTTGGGATTTAGGAAGGGGAGAAAGATACAAGTAAATATAACATAATAACATTTGGAGGGAATCTGAATGAAGAGTATATTTTTTATACTATTCTTGCAACACTGTTCTAAGTCTGAAACTGTAGTGTTTTGAAAAATGATATAAAGAGGGGCGCCTGGGTGGCTCAGTCGGTTAACTGTCCAACTTCGACTCAGGTCATGATCTCACAGTTTGTGAGTTCGGGCCCCACATCGGGCTTTGTGCTTTCAGCTCAGACCCTGGAACCTGCTTCTGATTCTGTGTCTCCCCATCTCTCTGTCCCTCCCATGCGCATGCTCTGTCTGTCTCTATCTCTCAATAATAAATAAACATTAAAAAAAATTTAAAAACGATATAAAGAAAAGACAAAACAGGAACTCTTAATAATATTTAGGTATGGTAAGTGACAGTTGCTCACTATTCTTCCTTTCTTACTCCTCTTATGATCAGGTGGAGAGAACAGCCTACTGAAGGACAATCACACCCAGGGTCACTCTCTGATAGAAGTGAGGTGCCAGCTGCAAGGCAAAGATGAATGGTGACAGTCCCAACAGCCATCACTGCTAACCAGAAGGCATTGTGTTCACATGGACAATGAGGTAGGAAGCACCCGTAAGTCTTCCTCTGTACATTCATAGGACATAGCTCAAAAACCGGGTGGCAATATGCCTAGTTGCTTATTTTTCTGCCTGGTGCATGGCAGAGACATATTATTATTCCTGTTTTGCAAAATAAAACAAACAAACAAAAAACAGAAAAAGGAAGTTATTTTTCTCAAGGCCACTCAGCAAACATGTTGCATAGTTCAAAAACTATCCCCAAATTAATAGGTCTCTAGTTTATTACTTTATATATCAAGTTTGGCATTTGGAGTTTCTAGTCTTCGCCCATTTCATGCCTGTCTCTCCTTTGTGTTTTACGTAGACTCCCACAAGGCCCTCTGAATGCCTAGACAGCTCCTACTCCTGGACACTCACTAGACGGGGTTCAGAAATCTCCTTCTGTGTGCTTTTTAGAAGTGCAGGGGAACACACTGCCGTCACACACTATCTGCTACAGAATTAAATACGAAAGGAACAGTTGGGGTAGTTTTTCCCTTCTTCAAATAGTGAAAGAAGAACAAGTCATGATTATTTATAAGAGTGACAAAAATAGTCTCAAAGAACCAGAGGACCTCAGTAACAAAAACATTCCACCTATAGTCCTCCAGGAATTCTTCTTACACTTATTGGAATCCCCAATAAAAATAATTTAAAGATGAATATGCATCTGGGCTATCTAAAACTGAGTGTCATTTTTCATAGACCTCATCACTAAGCTGTAAATGAAGAAGTAAGAGTTGTTCTCCTCAAACTTGGGGAGGATGAACCCCTTTGGGTTTCCTTTTCTAAAGTGGTTAAATATTCAATAACTCTGTTACATACCAAAGAGACAGAGCGTCTGGTTCTAAAGCACAGTTGTTGTTCAAAGGACTCTGAGAATGCTTGAATTTTGGAATGGGATCTTCCTTTTGATTCCAGTGGCTCCTTGAATGACTCATCTGCTGAACATTTTCTATAATCCCGCATGTGGGTATGGCATCGAAATCCCTGGTCCTCATGAGAATGCCTTCTGGGATGGCTATCAGATGATGTGATTCTGGGAAGCACAGGAAACTGGAAATACAGAATAAAAATTTTTATAATATAAAGAGACTGTACAATATTAGCACAGGGACAGATTATCCATAAATTACCAACTAAACAAATCTCATGTTGAACTGAAATTTCATCTTTTTGATTAGCAGGACATTCCTTCTACAATGAAGGAGAGTCAATTGATTAAAACATTAAGTAGAACATCCCAAGACTAACTTTGTTCGTCCTCCACCATTAGGGCAATATAATGAAGCATTCCAAGCCCTAAATTGATATGTAAAAATAAATTCCAAAATTAAAAAAAAACTTTAAAGAAGCTATAAATGTTTAAGAAATAATGCAAAGGTGAATAGTTATATAACTGCTATATTTAGAAAGAATTTCTAAGCAAAAGCAATGGAAAAAGCCAAAAGGAAAAAACTAATTTAACTGCATAAAAATAAAGCTAATGTGCAGCACAAGCAACATAACAAAATTCATGGTAGATTTAAAAACTTTAAAAATATTTGCTACATTTTAGTAATGTTTAATAATAATATCCTGAAAAGAACTATCTCACATACATATAAACATACAAGTCATATAATATAATAGTATCAATGTTAAAGTCATAATCAGAAAACAATCAAAGGACAGACAGTTCAGGGAAGCCAATCTTGAAAGAACTATTCTCTTAGGTCGCCTGGGTGGTTCAGTCAGCTAAGGGTCTGACTTTAGCTCAGGTCATGATCTTGAGGTTTGTGAATTTGAGCCCCTCATTGGGCTCTCTGCTGTCAGCACAGGGCCCATTTAGGATCCTCTGTCTCCCTCTCTCTTTGCTCCTCCCCCACTCGCTCACTCTCTCTTAAAAATAAATAAATATTTAAAAAAAAAAAAAAAAAGAGGGGCGCCTGGGTGGCTCAGTTGTCCAGCTTCGGCTCAAGTCATGATCTCACAGTTTGTGGGTTTGGGCCCCGCGTCAGGCTCTGTGCTGACAGCTCGGAGCCTGAAGCCTGCTTCAGATTCTGTGTCTCCCTCTCTCTCTGCC